AATGTAATAATAATAATATTTTTTATTGACATAGAAAAGAAGTACAGTGCTTACATAAATACATATTATCACAACATCAGTGGAAACTTAAGCAGTTGAGCTCTGGCGTAATAGGGAATATGCATGTATTTTTTTTATTTTTTTAAACGATTCTACTAGTTATTACATTACCAAAAATAAATATAACACATCCGAAATAAAAAAAAAAAGCAAAAAAAAATTATTAAAATCACTATCATTTTGGGGCAATTTGAACACGTCCATTTTGGCGCGCTTTTTTTGTGATGTCAGATTACACTTTCAGACGAATTCGATGTCAACAACGGAGTGAAGTTCACAAAGTTTGTGAAAGTTAAAAAAGTGAGTGATAAAAATTAACTTATTACCATGGAAAAGCCAATAAAAACTTATTATAAATATTGTGCCGTTCCTTTGTGCCCAAATAATATCAAAACTGCACCTGACAAAGTATATTCAGTCATTGTGTTGAGTCTTTCTACGCGGGAATTTAATAATTTAACACTGAAAACGTATTAGTTATTAATTTAAAATGAAACAAATAATCACCAGAAACCAAATATTACAAATACACACAACTTGTTGACACTCTTGACAGTGTAGGTTGACGTCACATTTTATTCAACCAATAGCGTTGCGTTTTAGAAATTTGCGAGGGAATCTTAAAAATGCCAATTTTTGATGATCAAATTTCACTATTAAATTATAATAAATTTCAAAAATAATTGTATGGGTATCTTTTTTTAGCAATAAAAATTACAAATAAAAATATTTTGTCCATTTTGGTGTCACGTGCATATTCCCTATTGTAAGATTGTGAATGAAGAATGTGAATATATATGTATAGTGAATACAATAAGGCGTTTTCATGTCAGTGTTCGGCGTATTCTACTGGCGCACCCGAGACTCGCGGTATACCTTAATTAAGCTTCCTCGCCCTATTCTTTACTCCTAGTTCTCTTCTCCCAAATTACTTTTGTATGTCTTCCCACCCCCAGAATGGAGGGGAAGAAGGTGTTCCTAGGGCTCCGGTAACGTTCCTTAAGAAGGAATTGTTTAAACCGGGTTTTCTGTGGTATCACTCCGGGCCTAGCCGGCTCATATGTCGAAGCATCTTGAAATAAAGAAATAAGATTTGGCAAAAGGCCTGAAGAATTATGATTATAAATGTTAAAATGAGTATTTTTTTCCTTATTTTTTGGTTAATAAATTTTGGTTACCACAACTACTACTCCATCTAATATATATATATATAGGTAGGTAGGGTTAATTCTGTTCAGAAGACAATTTTTCTTAACAAGTAATAATAATAACCTCACACATCTCACACACGGCCGGTTTCACTACCATCATTATTTTAGACTTGCGTAGAAAATCCTAACTTAACTACTTTCAAAACAACTCTGTAACAACGATTTGAGGGAATCAAACTTTGTACAACAGACTCATCTTTAAAAAATACTGAAATACAATCATTAAAAAAATATCAAACTGCGTAAAAAGAACAAAAATGGCTATGGAAACAGAATAATAATAATAATATATCTAACACATATCACACACGGCCGTCTGGTACAAAACTAGGCAGAGCCTGTGCTATGATTACCAGAAAGCCGATAAACATACTTATATATTTTTAAATACATACATATTATAGATAAATTACACCCAGACACAGAACAAATGACCGTGCTCATCACACAATATTTCTCCTAGGTGGGAATCAAACCCACGACCTCCCGGCTTAGCAGTCAGGGCCACTAGCCACTAGACCAACAGGCCCGTCAGAATTAACAATGGTAGAACTACTTATAGGTATATATTCACTATCAATATTAAATTATAAAAGCAATTCAAAAATATATCTACCTGATATTCCCGTAGTAAATTTTTATCGGTTGTTATATAAGCAAAATTAAATATTAACAGGTAAGTACGATATAGGGGCAGTGTGAGTTTAACGACCTACTGAACAAATGTTAACTGACCTTGTCTGCACTGAGTAAAACGGTTCCTTCACGTGATACCTACTTATCTATAAACATATTAGCCTTACTAATAATTTACCAAATTTCATAAAAGTAATGTTTAGATAAACAATTGATGGAATTTAAAACTATATTTCATTGTAAGCCGTGACATAATATCTTCATTATCAACAGCCTGGATATAGGACTCTCCTTAGAAGGATGGTTTAGGGCCTACTATACCACGCTGGCCAGACGGGTTAGTATAGGATTTGTGTCAAGTTTTCCTTCTCTTTGCAGTTCTGTTAACTTTAGTTAGCTCTTACTGACACCCGCGAGATAAATAGGTGTGGTGACACTCGGTATTCTTAATCCGTCATCACAAGGACACAGTGCACTTTGTTAAATTCATTTAAAATATAATGCGATTACATTTTAATTGCATTTTTTTAAATATTTGTTTGGAAGTTTTCTTTAATGTGTGTGTATTTACAAAAAAAGTATGTACGTATTCTATCAGTCAATCTAGTTTTCTTAGTACAAACTTTGTTTAGTTTAAAACTAGATGGCGTTGTGTATTAGATGTCCTCAATATTATTATTATTTTGTTCCTCACTAGAGAGAGCAACGCTTAGCCACAAATAGGCCAATTAGATTGGAGTTACTGTGGTTAAGCATTTGTCGCCGTTGCATAAACGTGCAATACATTTTTAAAAAAGTACAATAGGTATAAGCAATTATAGATAGTTCAACTCAGTTGTGCGCGCGGCCCTATGTGTGCGTGGGCTTGTAAATATACAACTTTCATTCGTGTGGCAGTCGTCGTCCGAGCACCGCGTCACTGCCACACGAATGAAAGTTGTATATTTACAAGCCCACGCACACATAGGGCCGCGCGCACAACTGAGTTGAACTATCTATAAGCAAATAAATAAGTAATTTCCATTTTTAGTCTTTAAGTACAGTCCGCTATCTTTTCCGGTTTCGATAAAACCTTGTAAACACCGATTGGCAAGTACACAGCTCCAACTGTCAACTGCCTACAAGAGGAGCATAGTTTGCCCACATCCTTAAGAACCCACGACAAACAAACTTAATGAATTGTTAATATTATGACCATAATTTTAAAAAGCTGTGTCGTGACAATATTTTGTCACAAGATGGAATTTCAAAACTGATTATCGTTTTAATATAATTATATGAATCTAAGAATTAGTCGCCTGTTTGTTAATAAAACAATTATCGTTACGATTAGCTAATATTTTTAACCTTCAGTGATTAAAAAGGAATGGCTTCAGTTGTTGAACGAGTAAATAGGTAAAACATTTAAAAAAATATATCAAAACAATTTAGAGTGACTAAGAAACTGTTATTTATCCTCGAATGTACTTTTTAGAAGAAATGAAAATAGTTCTTAATGTGAAATACAATATGGGCGAATGTTGATTGTAATGACGAGTGTGTTTGTTTTTGTGTTTACAACCTTTAAATAACTAGGTTAGAGATAATAAAAATAATTATTTAAAAAGTAAAAGCAGCGAATGTATGTACATACTAGTGATGCGCTAGCTCGTTAATTTTTTTATTTTATTTGAAAGGCAACTCCCGCATTAGGAATATATCCTGTGTCGCGGGGGACTTCAAAAACATACATGAAACAGACACAAAGAACACCCAGACTCAGAACAACAATTTGTGGATCACACAAAGTGTCGTCCCATGTGGGGTTTGAACCCACAACACTCGGCGTAGTAGGAAGCGGCGTGGCTACCGCTTAAACCTTAAAAGTCATCACTAGTATATATATTAGTGATGACTCGTGACCGTATCCGCGGATATAGATATATCACTATTAGATTCTTACAATACTGTTATGAAGATAAATATGATAATAATAATCTTATTGGGTGTTTAAATGAAGGTTGTAAGTTTTTAATTACAGTTACAAATTCTAACATTCACAATTCATAGATAAAAAACCTAGAGAAGCTCAAAAATCATAACCTAAATAGGTACAGAATGTGATGCGTATCATCATCATCATCATCAGCCACTGCTGGACAAAGGTCTCTCCTATTTCACGCCACTTCGATCGATTTTCGGCTTCTCGCATCCAGCTCCTGGCAGCCATCTTAAAATCGTCACGTCGACGGCGCGGCGTCCTACCCTTCGTTACCGAGACGCGGTCTGCACTCAAGAACTCGTTTACCCCAACGGTTGTCGGTTCTGCGGCTTATGTGGCCAGCCCACTGCCACTTAAAGCTTGTTGATCTGCCGGATCACCTCATTGATTCGTATCGTTCGGCATAAATAGACCAGCTCGACCGGACTGATACCACGACCTCACAGAAAATCGATGTTAAGCAACTTTTTCATTGCTTTTCAGCGAGTGAGTGAGGTTAACGGAGCCCAAACCAAAGCCCCCCCTACTTGGCCCGGGGGGGGGGGGGTTACTACTATTGCCAGCGGTAGTCACTTATCATTCAGGTTTTCTGTTTAATAAAACACGCTACGATCATAATTCATAGCCAGTTGGCTGTCGAAATTCGATAGCTGGTAAATCATCTGGAATAATCTATCGAATTCTTCAATATCACTTTAGCAAAATAAAAACGTAGTCTTTCCACTTTAAAGTACCACATGGCTTTACAGACCAATTTTGCTATACGACTTTTTCCTTACTTAAAATATTATTAGTTTTTTTTTTTTTATTTAAGTTCCAACCTTTTGTATTTTTGTTATAGGAAAAGCGAAACCTTTTCGTTAATGTGTAATTATCGTTAATGACAATGTAAACAGTAACTAAACATTTTACATAATTACAAAACAAATAAATCATTCTCACAATATTTTATTTACAAAACATAATTACCTAAATATTTCAAAAGAACATAATAAGGGAATTAAACAACGGCTTATTTATTAAATGCTATAAATATTACTTTATCACGCACATGAACATAATTACATTCATGGTATAGTTTTATTTTAAAGAAATTAATTTTTTAAACTTACAGGAGAAGAGGCTCTTTGTCCATCGCGAACAAACACTCACACAAACACTGACACTTTAAAAAAAAATGTATTTGACGTTAGTGAAACGTCAAACTGTCATGTTGGCGGGCAAACCAAACGGGTACTAATTTGAATCTAATAGATACGATTCTTATCTGTTAACATTTATGCCACCACTCCTTGTACATAAATTGTAGGTAGGTAGATAAATGCAGTACTACCGAGCGATATAACTTCACACTACGCTATGTTGGAAATGTGTATTTATAAATAAGTAGATACCTACCGACATTAGTATTCGCTGAAGTGTTGTCATTTGATAGTAATTGCGAAGGTAAGTAATATTATGCACATTACATTACAAAATATACAACAAAACATTATTGCACTTAATAAAACAATGTTCACCTAACACGTACGGCTTTGTGGCAAACGGTTGCCATAGCTTGACATACCATTAGCAGAAAGTAGTTATGACGTCTAAAGCGCCTTAGAAAACTAAGTAAATAATAAATAAATAAATAATAATATATTCTACCACATACACACAACGCCATCTAGTCCCAAACTAAGCAGAGCTTGTACTATGGGTACTAGACAACTGATATAAATACATATATACTTACTTTTTTTTTGTAAATACATACATATTATACATAGAAACACCCAGACCAAATCAAACATCAAATGTTCATGCTCACAAATGTTTGACTTGAGCGGGGAATCGAACCCGCGACCTTTGGAATAGCAGTCCGTTACACAAACCACTACGCCATCCAGTCGTCAAGTGTATTTATATTTTCTTTGTAAATGGTTGTGTAACAGTGGAGAAATTAAGAACGGACGGAACACAAGTACCTTAGACGTATGAATGTGTAAACCTTAAAGAGGAGAGAAAAGGGAAAATGTTCAAATTATGTAAAAGACGGAGTACGGTTGTCCGAAGTCTAGAAGATATTCAATGAAAATACTGCAAACTATGAGTTAAAATGACATGCAGCGATATCATTGTGCAAACAGGAAACGACTTCTGTTTAAAAATTGAATAAACTATCGTGAGTTCACTGATAAATGTCATTGAACGATGGGAATCAATACACATATAATATTATTACATTTCATGCATTATATTATTAAATCGTCATTGAACGGTAATTACAATACGACAATATTAAACTTCAAAAAGTTTTAAATGTGAAAACGTCTTTTAATAAATACTTTTTAGTGATTTACGGCCTTGGCTGAATTAAAAAAATATAGTCCATAATATTCTCGTATCGATTGCAGGTTAAAATTCCATTTAGCTTAGCTATAGGGGTTAACAGGAATACTATTAATTTATAAGTGTCATGACTAGTACTTTTTTTAAAATTACGAGTGTGTGTTTGTTTGTCAGAATAAGATTTGCACACATTCTTGGATCGAAGTTACTGGAATAAGCTAGTAATGAAAATAAAACGGATTTAATGCGTGTCTAGTTGACGTTTAAGGATTTACTCTTATTATCTTCGTGATTGGCGACTATAAAGAGTTCAAATATTAAAACAAATAAGTCTGATAGACTATTAGTGTATGATTAATAGTCATTATATATATTCTGTGGCATTAAAAAATAATATAGTTTCTTTTTAATCGAATTCGATAAATCAATTTAAAATATGAATCGTTTGATATCTTCACTGCGGAGCATGAGCACGCAAGGAAGGTTGCGTGAGATTTTATGGCGTCTATTATTCCTTAATAAATACCCAAATACGCAAAAAGATTCATTTAAATCTAACAGATAGTCGCAGAGTTTATTATAGTTATTGGACGTTCGATTCATATAAGTACTCCATTGTCACGTTTCCTTCAAGCAACCTTCAAGTTCACAAAGATGAAGCGAATGTTATGGCAGCCATGTTAAATTTGCATGGAAGGATAGCCACCAGTGATCTTAATCAAGTACACAATAAAACTCGATTTTTTTTGTCGCAAATATTTGACCAAACATCGACTCTTGATACTGTCATTATATGTATAATGTAATGCTTCTTTCAATTAATCATCCTACCCTATTTATATACTTTTCGAAGAAAAACTTATTTTTGTTTAAGTAATTATTTTAGACAAGGCTCCAATACCAGGCTCCACGGCCATACAGAAAACCGGTGTTAACCAAAGCCTCCCCCCCTCCCTTATTCTGGGACTTACCATCAGGTGATCCGTTTACCCCACTATATCATTAAAAAAACATAATTACCATATTAATTATAAAAACGGCGTGAGGGGTCTACGGACCCCCGGTCGGGACGAAGTTATTTTCGCTTTTTTGTAGACGTTTTCTATACAGTCATTATATTATAAAATATCAAGTAAATAGAGTTAAATTGAACTTTTTATGATAAAATATATTTATTATATATTATATTTACAATAAATAATGATAAATTAAACGCTGAATGATCTGGGATAATTAGGTTGCGATGTATTAATACACGGCTGTAACTGTAGTAAGTGTCGAAAAAAAGTCTTGTTACACATTTTACGGTCTCGCTCCCATCCGCTCAGAGCGTGTAAACGCGCGATAAAATCATAAAAATTTTACTCCGCTTTTATCATTTTCCTTTCCTTCCATTTTCTCCTTTAAATATACACACAATTTTCCCATCTGAAAGCCAATTCTCGTAATAAAAATTCGGTCAAAATTCAGTTCCGATCAACTCTTGATCTCGCAACTATCATAAAAGGTATTTTCGTTGTAAAATAGTAAAGTATTACTAAAATTAGTAGACTAGCGCTTCAATTTTCGATTACAATACGATATAATCACATTACAGTGACGTTACAGTTACGTTGGATGTTTAATACTTTATTACGAAACTACCTTTTATGTCAGTTGTGAGATCGAGAGTTGATCGGAACTGAATTGTGACCGAACTTTTATTACGAGAATTGGCCTTCCGATTCCTAGCACCCGGTACCCGGTTAACACTAAATTATTTAATTACTAGCTTTTGCCCGCGACTTCGCCCGCGTGTGTGTCGTTTATCGTGGTAAAAAGTTACCTATGTTGCTCGCTGATAATGTAGTTTAAGAATTTTTTTAAATCGCTTTAGTGGTTTAGGCGTGAAAGCGTAACAAACAAACGAATTCACTTTCACATTTATAATGTAAGTATGGATCTTATTACGTCAGTCTAATAAGTTTTCCTTAAATAATATTATTTTTTTGTACAGCAATTTGAAAACCTCCTTTCTAAAGAGAGGCCTATGTCCAGCAGTGGACTATTAACGGCTGTTGATGAAGGCAATTTGAAAAAATACTAACTTATCACAAGCATATCCGCGGTTAAGAATTTATAGTACACTAGCTGAGACCCGCGGTGTTACCCGCGTTTGTTGTTATAACCGAGGGCAACGCCGCGGGGCGAAGCTAGTCTAAAAAAAGTAGCCTAAGTTACTCCTTATGTCATCAGCTATCTGCCAGTGAAAATCGGTCCAGCCGTTCCAGAGATTACCCGGAACAAACAGACAGACAGACAAAAATTAAAAAAAATGATATTTTGGCATATGTACCGTGTAAACATTCATATGCATTTAGTAAAAAGCGGTTATTTTAATACTACAAACAGACACTCCAATTTATTTTATTTGTATAGATATAGATATCGGCGGCTATCTTATCTACACTACGAATACAGGATAGGATGTTATTTGAACTATACAAATAATTATACTACGAATTATTTACGCTTGTTGACACTTAAGTCTGGTTATTGAGTTGTTGATAGTCGAGGAATATCTACAGCTTTTGAAAATGTGTTACATACATATTTAGAAATTTCAATTTTTACACCGGAGCCTGAAAACTGTTTCAAAAACTCATTACTACCAAAAAGTATTTAAAAAAATAAGTGTAAGGGTGTCGTAAGGTGCCGACTCAGGGAAGAAACAACAGCACTGCAGAGAGAAGGAAAACTTGACACAAACCCTATACCAACCCGTCTGGCCAGCGTGGTATAGTAGGCCAAAACCTCCTTTCTAAGGAGAGGCTTTTGTCCAGCAGTGGACTTTTAAAGGCTGTTGAGTATAAGGGGGGTGCTCCCTAATTCAAGAGAGGGGAAGGCACTCAATATTTCTTCTATTTCAAAAGAAGATTGGCCATTAGCAAGCGGCCAGCAACAAAAAGGAAACCAGCCAAAAGCCTTTGTAATTTTAACCATTATAATTATAGTTGCAATATGTGGGGTCATATGTCTCTGTCTATGCTTTGCTTTGATCTAGACATGAATGAGTTCATTAAGAGTGTGTGAGTGTGCGTTGAGTAATGTATGTATGTCATCTAATAAATAATTGTAATGCGCCTATTGCAGTAAGCATTTATTTTTCTCAACTGCCTGAAACATGCTATTTAAAATAATAAGGCGTTTTTGAGTTTTATTAATGACATTTCTGCGTTCTTTGGGAAACAATAATACTAGAATATGGTAAAATAATACGAGGGGTGATCAATAAGTAATGATAATCGAGTATTTCTAGAACGCACAAAAACCCAAATTTTTTTTTTTCTGCTTGCTTATATATCCACTACTTCAGCTTCAAAAAAATGTATAAATAGGACACCATTACCGGGAGATACATTCATTTGAATACGAACTGTCGAAGAGAAAACATCAAAATGGAGAAAAATGAAATAAGAGCTGTCATCAAGTACCTCTGCCTGAAAAAAATGTCTACCAAAGACATACACAGCGACTTAGAGGAAACATTGGGGGAGTCTGCTCCTCCATATTCCACAGTCGCACGCTGGGCAAAGGAATTTAAGCTGGGCAGAACCTCCACTGAAGATGAACATCGCGAGGGACGCGAAGACGATGATTCAAAGAACACCTCCGGGGCAACAAATTTGAGGACAATAGTGAAGTGATGGCCGCAGTAGAGGCATTTTGGGAGGGTCAAGACAAAGAATTTTTTTCTAAGGGATATATATTTTTTTTTTCATGGGCTTAGAAAAAAGATACACTAAATGTATTAACTTGCAA